CCCTAAACTCAGGAAATTGCTTTGTTCTTGCATATGATTTGATCATACAATGGAGAAGTAAAAATTTCTTCTTTTTGAGGGCTTTATGTAAGGACTGTCAAGATACCAGTTCTGATAATGGAATATTATACTATCTTATGAAGTTAAGTAAATGGGCCCACACTGGTGGTGCAATGTGTTAAAGCATAGCACTGTGGAGCTATCCACAGTTTTTGCAGCACAAGTTCAAGCCCTGCCAGGGAGGTGACCTACATGGCACAGCAGACCTCTCCTGTTTTGCCCACTACTCCCCTCAGCAGTGTATTTCAGTCAATCTGTCTGTTGTGATCCCCACTATGGTGAACCCTCTCAACCCACTGCACCTCTGGCCTGTACTCCAGTTCTTGCATGCATAAATACATCTTTTAAAAAATTAGATATTATCAGGGCCCTCCCTGGGGGCACAGCGGTTAAAGCACAGCACTAATAAGCTAAAGCCACTTCAGCATGAGTTCGATCCCCGCCTGCCCCGGAGGTGATTCACATGGCGCAGCAGACTTCTCCTGACCCTTCCACTGCTCCCCTCAGCAGTGTACTTCCTCAGTAGGCCTGCTCTGCTCCCCACCCTATCTCTGGTGAATCCTCTCACCACCCCTGCACCTCTGTACCCCAGTTCTGTATACACAAATAAGTAAATCTTAAAAAAATTAGAAATCAAATTCTTAGCCTGAAGAATTCTTGATGCTCTTGATATTTAGAGTTCTGTTAATGTGGGAGGCATACACATACACACTCATTGGTGCTATCCATTTTATCCAGAAAGCAAGTATTAAATCCCTACAGGGGAAAATAAAGACCAGTAGGGAAGAGGATCAACCTACAAGAAGCTTATAATTCAGTAGGGGAGACAAACAAGTAAGTTGAATGGATGTTATTAAAAAAAGATGCTAATTAAGGAAGCCCAGAAAGACACATCTAATTAGGACCCCCAGGGAGGATGTACGTTCACTTTTTTTTTTTAAAGAAATATTGTCCTTTTAGGACAGCTTTAGGTTCACAGTGAACTTGAAAAGAAGGTACAGAATTTCTCCTGCCCCACAACATCGTTCACAAGAGAGGCACATTTACTACAATTGCTATAGTGATGCATCATAATTATTTAAAATCTTAGTATTTGTTTGTTTTACATTCTATGAGACATTCACACAGATACACACACATACACACACTCATGGATGCTATCCATTGCTTCAGGTATCCACTGGGAATCTCGGACAATATCCTCTATGGATAAGGGATAACTATTGTAATACACATTTAAGTTTCCTCCTTACTGCTTTGTGACTTGGTAGCTCACTTCTTTTTAGCACAGAGTAACATTCCTTTGTTTGGATGTACAGAGTCCGTAACACTCACCTACTGAAAGGCATTTTGGTTGCTTCCAAGCTTTGACAATTATGAACAAAGCTTCTGTAAGTGTGTGCAGGACTTTGTGTGGATATAAATTTTCAACCATACTTAAGCCTTGAATGAGAAGTGCAGGTAGCTAGATAGTAAGAAAAAGGTCGAATATTTCAGACAGAAAAAATGCTTGACTATTCAGAGAATTTCATCCTGCATGGTACAAAGTTTGCCTGTGTATATAATGGAATAGAAGCTGGGGT